ACACATTCCTACATGCAAAGGTCTACTATACTTACTTCTAACTACATTCAATTCTCTACATTCCTAATTTACAATATGTTAACTAAAAATAATTCACTACAATTTCCCCATTTTTAAAATGGAAAGTGTCCTCACTTTCCTTGACATAATTAAATTCTCTACAATTTTAGTCCATTTTTCCGTTATTTACAACAAAATAAATCTTCATTCTACAGTTCATTGTTAAGATGCTCTTTCCTTCTTTACAAAAGTTTTGTGTTCCTACCATATTTTCTGAATTTACATACAGGTAATTCTTTCTAATACAGTCCATTAGGTGCATATTTTTCTTATACACCCAGTTCTTCTGATAACTGATATCTGTGCTGTCCTCCTGTTTCTGTAGCTGGCTTCTAACTTGTATCTTCTTACTTAGCAGTTCATATCGGTCGTTTCTACGTAAGTACAGTTCATTTGTAGTGCAGTGTGTGTTAAAGTGTCCACTCCTGGAAGATGTTTGATTTTCATCTTCGGAGCTTCCCGTTTTTGACAAATCTGTTTGTTTACCGTTGCTTTGTTCGGACATCTTACGCAAGACTCTGAGATCCGTAGGTAACAAAAGTTTTACCTCTTGTTTCAATCTGAATATCTTCGGTACTTTTTGAAGTTGAAGTTACATTTGCTGAAGGATTCTCGGGATTTGGATGAGGGACGTTTGTTTGGATAGGATTTTTACATTTAGGACGGTTCATCCTGCGTGATAACCATGTGTATAATTTTGGTTTTCCGTAACAAATTATTACGGTGAAAAGAATAGTGAAAATTGAAGGGATTGCTATGTACCAAGCTATGTGACGTATGTGTGTGTCGCGTGTGGCTATATATATTGAGTGAAAGTTGTTCAGGGGGTTGGGTCGATGGACTGTAGAGCATTAAATATTGGGTTGTTTGCGTAGATGTTGCTGTCATTTAATGCGATATTTTGTTTGTGTTCTTTGTATATGGTATTTTTCTACTGTGTCTCTGTGTCGTTTGTTTTGTACTATTTTTATAATGGACATTCGTCTTTCTGAAAGAACATGCTGGATTCACAAGTTAAAATTGTGGTACTGAGTACTGCTGAATTTGTGGGTCCTTGGAGACGTTTCACCTTTTATTTCCTTTCGAGACACTGTAGTACAATACGTTATTCTGATTGTAGGGCAGCGCGATGATTCGGCTGTTGTATTTATAATTGTAAGAATCAAGCAGAAACTGTCTGCTTGCCTTGAAGAAACAAACTGTTGTAATTTGTACTTGAAATTTTGATGAATCGAGCAGAAACTGTCTGCTTGCCTTGAAGAACCGAACTTTCAGAGAGCGAGCACCAACGCAATCTCCTTTATATATTCCCGCAACATAACTGTTCTTGAATTTTGAATTGAATATGACAATCCGATTCGTCCCCCCAAAAAGTCACTTATGACGTCGGAAACGTGCCGAACAGCCACATTCAAATCCCATTGGTCCGAGTCGTAGTGAAGCAGCGGTCATCTGGCAATCGTCACTCCACACATACTAGGGCGCCTAAACCAACGGTCACTAAACCGAATGTCAGGGGAAGAGACTTTCACACGCCAGGATGGCGCCACTCTCTTTTCCAATGTGATACATTGGACAAAGCCAAAATTTAATAAAATCACTCAAATTTTGATGAAGTGAGGTGTACCAAGTATCATCTAATCACACCTCCTTCGTTCATATAAATCAGATTAATACGCCAAAGCCTGGTTTACCCCTCATCTCAAGTTTCAGCCCGTTCGGGAATTGAACCACGGACCCGGACAGGCACATTGCGAAGCGTAATAAAGCAATGATCATCGACGTCACAGTGCCATTGGAGAATAGATTATACGCCGTAAAAGAATTTAGACTGAGGAACATAGAGCAATATCAGGATCTAGCCAGGGCCCTGTGTGGGCGATTTCAAGAAGCTAAAACTGGCGCATTCGTTCTCGGTTCGTCGGGATCCTGGGACCCCGAGAACGATAAGGTTATGAAGACTATGTGCTCGCGTAAATATTTTAAATTATTTAAGAAACTGTGTGACAGCCTGTTCTGAGTTCAATTCCGGAAAGGCTACCTGAGATGGTCCGGTTTTATGCTATGCGGACTGGTGTCTGCTTTTGACAATAGGAACGGCAGTGGCGGATGTGTAATCCTTACCCCAAGCCAGAGGTGCGTTGGTGTACCTGGAACAGCAATGGTTAGAAAGGGAAGTAACGGGTGTTTTTATGGAGGTGCGTCACTCTAGGATCAACATGTAGCAAAGGATTTGGGCTTTCGGCAAGTTCCGGACCAGTCGTGTAGCTCGCGTTTTATTGAGATTTTAAAGGTTAGATGCTATAAGGTGGTTGTACTGTACCAAGTACCTCAGCAACTACAGACTTAGAACATTCTTGATCACTCACACCACGCAATTACACACACAAAAACAACAATCAGGTTGAAGTAATAAATACAATATCCTAATCAGCCTCTCTCGTGAACTTGTCAAGTCGCACTCATTCGGTTTTGCCTAACTTTGTCAGGAATTTCCTAAATAAGCCTGGCATCGGCTTATCGTGCATGAGCGCTTGTGGGACTGTACCCAGTGGAGTCTGATACCGAGCCGTTTAACCAATCTCCAATTTTACTCGGAAGCTCCGGCCACCTTTTGTGGTTTTGTTGGCAGTAGATGCGACAGAATTTACCGATCTCCTTCATACAACGCTCGCTGGGGTTCGCCAAGTCGGTCTTCCAAAGTGAGTCCCATTGTCACTCAATACGCACTTAGGTTTTATGCCCTGTCAGTTTATTAAGGCGGGCACTCGTGGTTGCTGAGCGCAAAGGGTATAACTTTACTAATTTCGAAAACTCATCCAAAAGCACCAAAATTTATAGGACACCACTTTCAGCGGACCATACAAATCAGTAGCGCAGAGGTCACCGGGCAAGTGGCTCTGACACTCGGTCGCGTAGCTGCAGTTGGGGTGTTTGACCCTCTGACAGACATCAGAGCGGGATATCAGCTTCCGGACCTTCC